GTGTGTGTGTGTGTGTGGAGCAGCCTGCTTCAGTCAAAAAAAGTACATGGGTTTGAATGGATGCATGTGTGTGAACTCTGCAGTCACCTGATCCCTTGTGCATTATTTCTGTGGAAAACGAACAGCAATTGTCACAGCAAGCTGCATTTATTGCTACCTTCTTTAGTGTTTAAAAAAAAATTAGTATGCAAACAAACTCTAAACTCACAAAATAATACTGCAATTAAATAATGCAACATAGACCAATAGTTTTAACAAAATGTTTCTTTTTTATTATTCTTTTTTGTTATCACAGCAGTATATTTTAGGCCAAAAATGTTGAGAATCTACATTGACAGGAAGCCTAAAAAGACACGTGTTTTCACTAGTCGTGCAGCAGTTATACAAGGACATATGTGTTTCCTGTAATATGGTGTTAATATATCTCCATGTCCTTACAACCAAGACAATATGAGCAACAGCTGTTTTACCTGGCCTGCTGCCTCTGCCATGATACAAAAGCTGTTAATCTTGCCAATAAAACCTCATTAAACGTGCAGAAGCAGTGAGTCACCGGCATGTCAGCTACTGCCGGCACGTTCTCTGTCTCTACCTATGTGTGATGTATAAACCCATGAGCTTGTTCATGATGATAATCTGTCAATCTGTTAAACCATTAAATCAGACATGAAGATGTTATAGGTTTCCTACTAATGTGTCACCTGCTCGGCAATAGTTTGAGATAGGCATGTGAAGAGGCAATTAATAAAATCATACTTCTGCTACTGGGATTCTACTGGTCATGGTTAATGCTAACAGATATTAATGTATTTTGATGATAGAGGAAACCTCACTCTTCAGTATAATTATGCTAATGTAATAGCTCGAGCACTTAACTGTCTATCCATGACACCGCACAAGGCACTTTATCGAGGCTCGACCTGAACACCTTCCTTCTGTGAAGAATAAAAGTGGCCCTTTAATCTATAAAAAGGGAAACTCAACACAAACTTTTCCTCTCTTTCGTTAGTTTAAAACATTCTTAGATTCTATAACGGAGTGACACGCCAGTTATCAGCTTGGGAGACTGTTTACTGCAAGGTAACATAACTAGATTGAATTTAAAAGACAAAGACATTTCTTTTATTTTTTTATTATTATTCACTGCTTTTATGCTCTGACCTTTGTGTTTTGTATATATAGGTGGAATCCAAAGTTTTCAATGTCTTACTGAAATAAAAGCTCGATTAATGGAAAGGTTCACTCTCTGTAAACTGTTGAAGTAAATTAAGAGTTAGATGTTATCTCAATCTTTTCAAAGAAAATTTATTCATGGTTCTACACAACTGATAAATTCATTAAAATGACCTTGTTTTGTGGTTGGTGCTAAGGAGATTAAGCTGTAGACTTTCAGACCATTGTGTTGAATAAGTATGTCATCAATACTTGTGTTCTGTTTGAGTTTAATCCAAATTACAACACCAAAAAAGGAGAAATSACAGGAAATAACAGCACCTGACACACA